GTGTCGTCTTTACATTCAATAACGACGGTTTTTTTCAGAAAAAGTGTCGTCTTTACATGTAATAGACGACGGTTCTTTTAAAAACCGTCGTTTTTACATATAATAGACGACGGTGAATTACCGTCGTAGTTTGACTTTCAAAAAGACGACTGTCGATTTAACGACGGTTTGAAAAAGAAAAAGACGACGGCGTTTCCCCGTCGTCTATTTCAATTTTTGTAGTAGTGAGAGATTAAGAACAATTGCCACAATCAAGATGATCCGTTCTCTGTATTATCTCCAGTATAGATATTGGTACATGGGTTAGACTTTCTCAAGTCTATTTACAGAAACTTAGCGATATAAGGCAAGTCCAATCAATTACATATATTACAGAAGAATTGACAATTAATCATTTTAGCTGATGAATGCCGTGTAGTATTCTCTTTACCCCCCCTCAAGTGTAACGGAGCAACGCGAAGATTGAGCTTGGATTTAAGAAGAGAAAACCGCTCACGACTAAGGCCTTTGGTGAATATGTCAGCAATCTGATGAGAGGAGGGAACATAGAAGGTATGAAGGGCTTTGCGAGCAACTAATTCGCGAACAAAATGATAGTCGATCTCGATATGACGGGTGCGAGCATGGAAAATAGGATTGGCAGCTATATAGATGGCGGAGAGGTTATCGACATAGATGCAAGGGGCAGAACGAAGAGGAATACCAAGTTCTCGAAACAAGAAACCAGCAGATTTCAGCGGCAGTGTGGGCAAGAGCACGATATTCAGCTTCAGTGCTAGAACGAGAAACGGTAGACTATTTCTTGGCAGTCCATGTGAGAAGATTAGGTCCGAAAAAAATACAAGCACCAGTGGTAGACCGTCGATCATCAACAGAACCAGCCCAATCAGCATCAGAGAAACTATGTAAAGTAAAGTCATTGGACTGGTGAAACACAAGACCTTGCTCAACTGTACCTTTAATATACTGAAAAATGCGCTTGACAACCCAAATATGGGAAGAACGAGTTTTGTGCATGATCCGACACACCTGATTGACAACAAAGGAAATATCTGGCCGCGATAGAGTAAGATATTGGAGGCCACCCACCATACTTCGATAGGTAGAGGGATCATATAAGGGATCACCATCCATACAGGACAATCGAGTGTCAGAAGACAATGGTGTAGGACATGGTTTGCATTCAGTCATATTAAACTGTTTCAACAAAACAACTGCATATCTGGTTTGAGAGAGAAATAAATGATCAGGAAATCGAGTAATTTCCATGCCAAGAAAAAAATTGAGCTCACCCATTCGGCGACTGTCAAAGGTGGAGTACAATTGATCAAGAAATTGGTGGACACTCTGTGGTTCAGAACCGATGACAATGATGTCATCCACATATACAAGAACATAGACTGTGCGTGAAAAACAGCGATGAATAAAGAGTGATGCATTAGAGTGACTGTGAACAAATCCCTGTGCAAAAAGAAAGGCACTGAGGTGCTGGAACCAAGCTCGGGGAGCCTGCTTAAGGCCATAGAGAGACTTATGGAGGCGACACATATCTTGAGGACGCGAGGAATGATGAAAACCAGGTGGTTGTTTCATATACACCTCTTCTTGCAAGTACCCATTCAAGAAGGCATTCCGAACATCAAGTTGCTGAAGAGACTAGTTATAAGACACAGCCAAAGACAAGATAGTGCGAATAGTGGCTGGTTTAACGACCGGGCTGAATGTTTCTTCGTAATCAAATCCTTCCTATTGATTGAATCCCTTGGCAACAAGGGGAGCCTTGTAGCGGTCAACAGAGCCATCAGATTTCCGTTTAACTATGAAAACCCACTTGCATTCCACAATATTCATTCGAGAGGTTGCTGGAACCAAAGACCATGTTTGATTCCTTATGAGGGCATCGTATTCATCCTTCATGGAAGCTTGCCAGTGACTGTATTTGGAAGCCTGGGTGAAATTTGTTGGTTCAAAAGACATGGGATCAGAGCAGGCGGCAGAGAGAGCATGGGGTAATGGGTGTGGATGGGTCAAAAAGTATAGGGGTTTTGGGGCAGGACCAAAGGGGATGATGGACTTGAGACTCTTAAAATTTTGGGGAGGGTTTGGTGTATCTGGAGAATTAGGAAAGAGAGATGGGTCAAGAGGGGAAGAAGGAGGAGTTGACGGGTCAAGAGGGGAAGAGGGCGGTGTCGACTCGGGTGATGAGTTTGTGGTGTCCATGAGGGATGCTGAGGTCGTGGGAACCAAGGTTGACAGGGGCAAGACAGCGGGTGAGGAAGTTGTGGTGGAACGGAATGGTAGTGAGGGAGAAAGAGGCGACGGCAAGGGGTTTTGGGAGTGGGAGAAAGACGAGAGAACGACGTCTGTTGGAGCAGGGGAGAGAAGGTGTGTTGGGTCAAATTGAGGTGGGTTGGCGGAGGGGTTGACGAATGGAGAATCAATAATAATGGGGGCAGATTGGGTTGGACTTGTAGAAGTGTTGATTTGTGGAGAGTACAAGCTGGGCCCAATATCAAAGTGAGCGGCAGGTGTGGACTGCGCTACAGGTGTAGTCTGATGTTGCTGGTAGGGGAAACTTGTCTCATCAAAGCTCACATTCCGGGATATATAAATGCGACCTGAAATAGGATCAAGACAACGATAGCCTTTATAATGATCATCATAGCCAATAAATACACATGGAACAGATTTGAAAGATAATTTATGCCTATTGTATGGCACCATATGAGGGAAGCAGGCACAACCAAAACTTTTGAAAAATGTATAATCCGGTGTGCGTTGAAGTAATTTCTCATAAGGAGACATGTGGTCAAGTTGAGGAGTTGGTAGGCGATTAATCAGAAAAACCGCAGTGGAGAAGCCTTCAACCCAAAAGCTGTGGGGCAGGTGAGATTGGGCCAACAAATAGAGGCCCATTACCACAATATGTCGATGTTTCCTTTCCACCACTCCATTTTGTTGGGGAGTGTATGGACATGAGATCTGATGTGATATTCCATGATCACTTAAAAATGTCAGAAATAATTTGTTGGTAAATTCCCCGCCACCATCAATCTGCAATTGTTTGATGCTAGAGCTAAAACGATTTTCCACCATCTTTTTAAAGTGAATAAATGTACCAAGAAACTCTGATTTCTTAGCCAATGGATATAACCAAGTGAACCGAGTATTATCATCGACAATGGATAAATAATAGCAGTAACCAAAGTTTGAGGAAATTGGTGCAGGGCCCCAAAAGTCAAGATGTAATAGTTCTAATGGAAATTGAGCATGAGACTATCTATATTCAAAGGGCAATCGACAAGATTTTCCTAATGGGCAGATATGACAATTTTTATTGGAGACAATTGTACCATCAAGTAGTAAGTGGTACTTATTCAACAATGTAGTAAAAACTGAATGAGAAGGGTGTCCAAGTCGAGCATGCCGCACGTCCTGTGTTGTACGCTTTCCATAACAAGCAATCTGACGAGCAATATGAGGGGCTGTTCGAATATGATAAAGGCCATCATAACTACTGCCAGTAAGGAGTACTGTCACCGTCTTATTGTCCTTCACATGAAAACCATTAGCATCCAACTCAAAGAAACAATCATTATCACAGCAGAAACGACGAATAGAGATCAAGTTTTTGCGGATCGCAGGCACACACAAAACTTCATTAAGGTTTAATGATTTATGCAACCCGGTCAACCTTGTATTGCCAATATGTGTTATTGCTAACTAATTGCCATTCCCAACAATAATTTTATCCGTACTTGTGTAAGGATGAGCATTGGGGAGAGAGGTGGTGTTGGCTGTCATGTGGTGAGTAGCACCTGAATCAAAACACCAATTGAGGTTTGCCACATCAGCGGTAGGAGGAGAAGAGTGTGTCAAATTTTCTGCCATGTATGCATGAGGCTTACAATCAGGGCAAAAACGGGCTATGTGACCTGGCTTATTGCACCGAAAACAAATTACTTTAGTTCGCTGGGTATTTGAGGAATTGCCTTATGGTGTTGGAAGAAGAGGAGGACGTCCATCAGAGAGAGTTGCAGGAGAAGTGACGGCAGTAGATTGTTAGTCGCGAGATTGAGAGTGACTATCTGGAAACCAAGCCCCTTGAGTTGGCTCCCAATGCTCTGTTCTCCTTGATCCACGCCCTTGATTCCAATTTCTGTCATGACCACGTCTTCTTCCAAATCCGTGATGAGGATTGTGATTGTGACTTGACATAGCAACTCCTGAAGCCACGGTAAGAGACATCCATTTCTGTAGATGCTCTTCTCTGAGAGCTAGATCATAGAATCGATCAAAATCAATATCGGGATGCAGGTGAAGTGTTGTGGCTAACTCTTTGTATTCAAGTCCAAGTCCATCCAGAACATAACTGATGAGTTCATCATCATCCATTGTTGCATCAGCTTGTGTGAGGGAATCAAAGAGTGATTTGGCATAATTGAGATAATCAGTCACTGTTGTGTTGTTGTCCTTTCTGAGAGTGCGAATTTGGTCTCGAAGAATCCGTACACGGGTACTAGCAAGAGGTGAAAGGCGCTTGGCCAACATGGTCCAGACTTGATGAGCAGTGGTACAAGGGATGAGAAGTGTCTTGATGGAAGGGGAGGAAGTTACTTTGATCCAACTCATGACCAATTTATCCTTGGCTAACTCTGGGTGCATAGATCCATCCTCCTGCACTTTGGGTGGGTCTGTGTTGGTTTTGACGACTGCTGCAAGGCCGTGCATCTCCAATACATCTTCAAATTGGGATTTCCAACTCAAGTAGTTGGTGCGATCCATAGGAACTGGGAACAACGATGAGATATTGAAAGAGGTGGGCAAAGGATGGGATGAGAATGAAGGTGAGGAAAGTTTTGACATTTCAGAAATCAGTTTTGACATATCAATATGGCTTGATTCTCCAGATTTAGGTGTGTTGGCCATTGGTTTGGGTAGGATCGATATTTTGAGGGTTAGCTCCGAAGAGCTCTGATACCATATGAGAGAATGAACTCAAGAGGAAGAGTGAGTGATGAGAACAGAGATATTAAGAACAATTGCCACAATCAAGATGATCCGTTCTCTGTATTATCTCCAGTATAAATATTGGTAAATGGGTTAGACTTTCTCAAGTCTATTTACAGAAACTTAGCGATATAAGGCAAGTCCAATCAATTACATATATTACAGAAGAATTGACAATTAATCATTCTAGCTGATGAATGCCGTGCTTGTGGTTAGGAGGCTTCTGAGGTTGATGTAATGGGATCAGCTGATTTCATGGGACTGACAGATTGGATGGGATCTGCTGGTGTAGTATTCTCTTTATTTCGAAGCGTAGAAAAGTTTCGGAGATTGTCAAAAAGGAGCCGAGTCATGATGAGTCATCAAGTGATAGTGACAGTGATGAGAATTTTGCAGTGGATTGGAGAGCTCAACATCTTTGAATGCTCTGATCTCCTGTAGGATCTGTTCTTGACATGTTCAAAACCTGACAATATAATGTGCCAAGTGACTGGCTTTGGAACCTGTAGGTTCTTTGGTGCTAAATTGGAAGCTTTGCTGAGGCTATGTGCAATTGGGAGTTAGTGAAGGTGAAAGCAAACATGTCTACCCACGATGTTGCATGCATTTAAAAGAAGTAAAAAATATGTTTTCCAGTCGACATACTTATTTACAGCTTCAACCCAATCCATTCATTCTGCATGTTAATTTATTGGGAATTTATCCTATTAGTCGATTCCTCTAGTCCAAGCTTGCAAAATTTCATCAAATTAATTCATGGTTCGGTGTGCCATCAATGAAGATTATATATCCCCCACTTATTAAGTTCAATTTGGCATGAAACCAATTGACAAACACCATCATGATCTGAAGAAAAAAGTAGAGAGAAACGAGCCATCAACCAAATTCATCATTTATGAATAAATAGAGAGAGAGAGAGAGAGAGAGAGAGAGAGAGAGAGAGAGAGAGAGAGAGAGAGAGAGAGAGAGAGAGAGAGAGAGAGAGAGAGAGAGAGAGAGAGAGAGAGAGAGAGAGAGAGAGAGAGAGAGAGAGAGAGAGAGAGAGAGAGAGAGAGAGAGAGAGAGAGAGAGAGAGAGAGAGAGAGAGAGAGAGAGAGAGAGAGAGAGAGAGAGAGAGAGAGAGAGAGAGAGAGAGAGAGAGAGAGAGAGAGAGAGAGAGAGAGAGAGAGAGAGAGAGAGAGAGAGAGAGAGAGAGAGAGAGAGAGAGAGAGAGAGAGAGAGAGAGAGAGAGAGAGAGAGAGAGAGAGAGAGAGAGAGAGAGAGAGAGAGAGAGAGAGAGAGAGAGAGAGAGAGAGAGAGAGAGAGAGAGAGAGAGAGAGAGAGAGAGAGAGAGAGAGAGAGAGAGAGAGAGAGAGAGAGAGAGAGAGAGAGAGAGAGAGAGAGAGAGAGAGAGAGAGAGAGAGAGAGAGAGAGAGAGAGAGAGAGAGAGAGAGAGAGAGAGAGAGAGAGAGAGAGAGAGAGAGAGAGAGAGAGAGAGAGAGAGAGAGAATATGTTGACCTTGTTTTCCATTTCGTGTCTATTCCATGAATCCGGTGATAAGAAAAAGTAAGAGATATTTAATCATATACCAATTTTTAGCACTAAAACTATAAATAAACCCTACACCATTTAATTTCTATAAACAAACCAAAATTTTTTGGGATTGGGTTTGTTTTAAGAAATCAATGGCAGTTTTGTAATTTAAAAGAAGTTAAAAGCTTTTTTGTTATGTTGTAAATGGGCTTTGGGTGTGTTTCTAAAATCCATTTCATATAGGGTTTTTTTAAATAATTTGGGCTCCTATATTGGATATAATAGTGAATCTCCCAAAAAGTAATAGCACAAAGAAACAACCAATGAATTAGGATTAAGGGGTCATAGATAATAGAATTCCAAAATCTCCACCTTGGGACAGAAGCCATAACCGACCCATCTAAAAACATATTGAAGTGGCTAACAAGAGGTGTCTTTTTTTGGGCTAACCAATAAGGGGTCTAGCCCACTGAAAAATGGCCTTCACTTTTAGATTAGTGGCATCATGTTCAAACCCTCATGACACCTTAGTAGTGTGTGTGAAAAACCTCCCTCCTATTGTAGTTTAGATTATCGCTTGTATTAAAAATAAAAATAAAAATAAAAACAAAAACAAAAACATATTGAAGTGGGGTAAGGGGATTGTAACTCAAGTGGTTAAACTCGTTACCTCTGCACCTGAGGTTTAGTGTTCGAATTCCCCTCCCCAACATTGCTTGTATAAAAATATAAGAAAAACATATTGAAGTGGGAAAGAACCACTTCTGCCATCTAGACTCTAATTCTTAGGTTCTTGGGAGCAGTAAAGCCTTAATAAGGTGAAAGTATACAACAATGCAGTAGAACTAGATCCTTTAAGACCACTCCGACAATTCTCTTTAATATTGTATTTTATGGAAGAAATTGGGGCTCGTAAAACATGTATGTTAACAGAGGCATTTGTATGATAAAATAAGAGAATCTCCAGTTCAAAACGTATATTGGGGTGTAAAAGCCATATTTACATCTATGGTGCTTGGAAGTTGCTCTAATGGTGAAGATTTTGGGGATGTAAAACCTATATTTATTGATGATAAGTATTTTGTGTAAATATTGAATTTGAAAAGGGGGTAAAACAAGAAGCTCATTGAAAGAATAGTTGAAATGAGTTTACTTATGAATTCTTGATACTAGGTGTCTTCTCAACTATTCACTCATGATGCCATGCATATTCATTGAACACTACGACCCCACATCGTGTACTCCTATGAAGTGCACAATTCATTGATTGGTCATGATTGATTATTTGTTTTCAAATACTTTAAAATTGAAACTTACATTCTATATAGCACATATATTATTCCATTTTTTCTAACAGCCCAATATTTCTTATTGATTGCTTTTCTTTGTGAAAACATGGATTTTTAAAATCAAGCACATTCGAATAGTCTTTCAAACTTTGAAACATCAAATAGGAAAGTTTATCCCTAAGGAATGCTCGATCATACACTTGGTTCTTCAAAGTTGGATGGTAAATAAATTTGATGCATATACATATTAATTCCATGCTAACAATGAATACTTTTAATAAGGTTTAAGAAATAATATATCTTCTCTTGACTCCTTATGATTAAAGTTTAAGTTGTCTCTACTAGAAAAGCTCAATATAAGCCACGGATACACTTGTGACTATGGCTTATGTATTTGGAGCCACATATATACAATAGATGTGGCTTTAAACTAGTAATGGCCACTGTTGACATGCCGTGGCCAAGGAAATTGTGACTTTTGTCCTTTTTTTTAGTAGTGTGTTGAACTTATTTGGAAGTATGTAATTTGACACAACTTGACCCGAATTTTTCCATTGAAATCCGTGTCGAATCCTTTTACCCGTTCGACATCCAAACGATGCCGGGCCCACTTATGAACTTAACCCAACTCCCCCGCACAACAAGAAAATGGTCAAGACCTCTACCGAAATTTTGGCAGAGTCTCCCCTGAAAAAAAAGACATTTACCCAAATTTTCCAGATGCAAACATCCCAATGCTGCATGCACAATGCTAACCTACATAATTTACAAGATAGGCCCTCAGCCTCAAATGCAACCATAATGGGCAATATCGGCGCAATCTATGAATTTTCCTTTAATTTACACAACCACAATATTTCAAAGTATAACTCAAACAGTTTATTTTGCGGCTGCCTCTAGGTTAACCTAGGCAGTGGCGGAGTGAAAAACTTTATATAGAGGGGGCACTTCAAATATTGAAATGACATTTGAATTTTTTTACTTAATACAAAATCCCTAAATTTGATTATTATACTCTATTATTTTACATATTACATTAACTATCTACTCATCATTAATACTAGCAAAAGATATTGATTCAAATTACATGTACTTTGTTAAATACACACTAAGAATTTCCAATTTTAGTTTATTACTACAAAATTTAGAGTCAAAATAAGACAAAAAGAGATATAAAAAGGATAGTAATAATAGCGAAAAGAGAGATACGAAAAATATAAAAAGGGCCTCAATAAAATTTGATAAAAGATTGGTCATTGTGTTAAGAAAACAAAGGCCTCAATAAAATTGAGAGGGGGCATAGGAACCCCCCCCCCCCCCCCCCCCCCCCCCCCCCCCCCCCGGGCCATAGCTCCCTCTGCACCTGAACCTAGGTTGCCTACATATCTTTACTGAGGGATCAAGCCACATGTAGTTATTTTTAATAACCATATATGAAAATCCCTATTCTCAAATTCATAATATTCTAAAATCCATAACTTAGTAATTATCCATAAATTCTAGCAAACCCATAAAATATTGCCAAGTCATAGTTAAACAAATATCAATCTCATGATTCCAATAAATCCAAAATAAACCAACAATTAGATTCTAGAATCATTCTTTTCTCACGCCGTTCTAAAACTCATAAAGCTTTCCAATAGTCATGTCTCAACCTTATATTATTTTCGTATATAGTTAAGTAAAATCCTTTTTTTCCCATAACCATACCCTATCCTAGGCGTATGTTGCAAAACAACTATGTCAAGTAATTTCCAAATTTCCAATCTCAATTTTCGAACTTCATATCAAATGTTCTTACATGTGCAGGGTACTCTCAATGCACATGCTAAAGAAACCCCAACCTGGAAACGCATTCACATCTTATCCCATACATATATATACACACACACACACCTCATACCATCATCATGTACCAAAGAAAAACAATCCAACACGGAGACTGTTTTGACTAAACCACAAGCCAGCATCGCATTGGCCTTGTGACTAGGGATGAGATGTCCAATTAGGGGACTTTCGCTCCCAGCACACACGTTGGCATCACATCAACGTGTAGTTGAATCAAGTCCTATGCCCGCAGACTACCCCGCTAAGGGCCTACAACACACCTCGCCAAG